CAAAGCATCGTGCTGGCAGGGGCCTGGCAGGAGGAAGGAGAATGAGAGCCGTGACTCTCTGACACCCCAGTGGCAAGCGAGCGGTCTTCTCTGAGCACTGGCCCCAGGCTCTGCCAATGTGACCCTTTCTGAGGCTTCTCTTCTGGCTCCCAGTAGCCCTTCATGGTTTCTGTCTTTGGGCCAGAGAAGAGAAACAGCTCGGCTACCAGCAGCTGTGGGCAACCACCCTGTCTCTTACTGTCCCCAGGCTTGCCCAAATATTTGTAGTTAGCCCTCTACTAAAACACTCATTACATTATTACCCTAATTTGAGCATGCCACTTCGTTTGGATCCAACCCAAAAAAATCAATTACCAAAACATACCTGCTTCCCAAAACAACCTTGCCTTCCCAATATGATTTTGAAATCTGCTGCCATCACCTGAGGAACAAAATCGAGTTCCGTCTAGGCCTCTCCCACTGGGGTCGCGCCCAGGGGCTCTGTTCCTGCTCCCACGGCTCTCAGCCCCAAGCCCCTCCACAGACGCACAGCCTCTGGCCTTGTCGCCTAGCCTCACCCTCCATCTACCAACAGCCCAACTACAGAGAGCCATCTACGCAAAATCTTCAGCTCTTCCGGCTTTTTACATGCCTCGTTGCTCACACGAGTTCGTATCACAGTGAATCATAAAGTATACTATCAAGTTTTACAAGCTCTCAGTGATTTCATTACTTTTTAAATGGTAATCCACAACCACCTTCGTAACTACAAATTTCATATATACATATGTACAGAAAGAAAACAAAGTGTGCATGTAACTGCTTTTCAAATCTCTGGAGTGGGGCGGAGATGCCCGCCCCCCACACTGACCACCAACAGGCTTGCTGACCGCCAGCCTCCAGCCTCGCCAAGCAGCACCTCCTGCCTGGGGGGGTGGGGGGGGCAGCCCCCCAGTCTTCCCACTCACTTCATCAGCTTGCACTTCAAAGGCGCCAGGTCTGGACTAACGTCCGTTACCACCCCCCACCCCCCACCCCAGTGCTTAGGGCACTGTGTCCACTGTTAGTTACAAAATATTTCGTTTTTCTATAAACTTTATCAGGATTGTTCTTACTCAAAAGCCTTGTGAGGGGGATGCAGACTTTTATTCTATAAAAAAGATAACACCAATTAGCCTATAGTTACTACCAACAAAACAAGAAACGGTTTTACACACAAAAGTAATGAAGCTGCAGCTGACTTCGCCCTCCTCCCGGACTCTCTGGTCCGGCGCGGACATATGTGCAGAAGTATGCGGGCGGACGAGAAGTCAGCGCAAGCGCAGACCACCGCAGAGCGGATCGCTCACCGCAAGCATGAGCTACTTACTAGGCCGCTAAGGTCTAAGTGACAATGTCCAAGCAGCCCGAGAAGGCTTTCCTAGATGTACAAAAGGATCTTACCCTACACAAATCTCATTTCCACCAATTTCTCCAGGTAAAAACTGCTGGGTCCATCTTTAAATATCTCTTTCCTTTTTCTTCCCAGTTTCTTCTCTAAAACCTATACATACCTGGAATTTCAGTTAAAAAGTTAAATCTGGCCCTCCCTGGTGGCGCAGCGGGTTAAAGCACTGCGCTAAGAAGCTAAAGCCACTTCCGCATGAGTTCTATCCCCGCCTGCCCCGGAGGTGACCACAGGGCGAGGCAGACCTCTCCTGACCGGCCCACTGCTCCCCTCAGCAGTGTACTTCGTCGATCTGCCTGTTCTGCTTCCCGCTCTGTCTCTGGTGAAGCCTCTCACCCTCCGCATCTCTGGCCTGTACCCCAGTTCTGTACAAATAAATAAATAAATCTTTTAAAAAAAAAAAAAAGTTAAATCTTCACAAAAAGTGTATGTGACCCTAATCTACTACTTCAAAGGAAACATGTCTTAGGGTGAGTCATAACACCAATTCATCTACACATGTTCTATATGTCATAAGAATGAAATTTTATTCTAATTTTAAGGCATTTAAAAAGGTATTTGATTCCTTAAACAAAATCAACGTAGGATTAGCTGATTCTAATCTATCTACCCATCTATCTATATAATTAACAGTATGTACAAAGTCAATTAAAAAATTCATTTGCCACAATATTTTAAAATAACTTAGCATGCGGTAGTAGCCAAGCTCTGCAGGCCTTACAATGAAAGAAGGCAATTGTTCCGATCGCTGACTACTGATGCGTGAGGGGCAGGTTTCCAGCCCCAACTTGTCTTTAAAAGATAGCTGCACTGGGGCCTCCCTGGTGGAGCAGGAGAACTGTGGCACAGGCCAGAGGAGCTTGTGGTGAGTGACCTGCCCTGCCATGGTCTGCGCTTGCGCATATCTCTGCACATATGTCCGCGCGGGACCAGGGTGTCCAGGAGGAGGGCGAAGTCAGCTGCAGCTTCATTACTTTTGTGCATTTTGTGCATTTCTCGTTTTGTTGGTACAAGCTACAGCCACACACTGCAGCACGAGTTCCATCTCCCCCCAGGGGGCGACCCACAGGGGGCAGCAGACCTCTTGTACCTCCCTGCTGCTCCCCTCAGCAGTGGATTCCAGTGGTTCCGCTGTTCTGCCCCACTCTGTCTCTGGGGAATCCTCTAAACCTCTCGCACCTCTGGCCTGTATCACAATTCTTGTATGCATAAATAAGAAAAAAAAAATTTTAATCTTAAAACAAAGTTAAATATGCCAAACAATATAAGTTCTTTGCTAACTTTTCTTCCAGTGGTAAGGAAAAATCTAATCTAAATCTAAAAACAGTATCACAAAAAGCACTGTCAGAACATTCAAAAATCACTTTTAAAATTTTATACAACTATTTCTTCTTCCCAAATTTTGTATATCCTTTTTCAACGTCATAATCACTCAAATCTCTGTCCTGAAAATGGTATCACCACCCTCAGACTTCAAGAAAATAAAATATTTTAAATGGATTAAATTCACTTCCTATTTAGAAATTATTTTTTTACTTAAGTAGATTTACTACACGGTCCAATAATTCCACTCCTTGGTATTTACCTGGAGAATGCAAAAATCATTAATTCAAAGGGTTATTTTATATGTGCTCCTATCTGTATTCGTTGCAGCACTATTTACAGTAGTCTGAATACAGAAACAATCTACATGGTCACTGACAGGTGAGTAAAACTAAGAACATGTAGCATACACACATACACACACACACACACACACACACACACAGAGTAAAATACCACTCAGGTATAAAAAGAGATGAAATCTGGTCACAAGTTTTAAAATAACAAACGAGCCAAGAAAAAGTTGAGAAACAAGGGAGGATTTAAGCTGAAACTTATAAATTATTATGTTTACTGGTGAACCAATTTAAATATATCTGGTAACATGTTTTAACAAAGAAAAACACTGACAAATCAAGAATATGAGCAACAGAACTTGGTTGACATACTCTGGACCCTTGATGTCAACCTTATCAAAAACTGGTTTTCACTTTTTCAGTTTCCAGTTAAATCACAGTTATCATTATTTTTCAATAAATGAATCTTCCAGAAATTCAAACTGGTCCTAATTTTTTTCACTCAACTTCTGCTAGCATATTTTCTCATTAGTCTTCTGTTTAAATTCCTATAAGTCAGTTACAATATCTACTTCAAAATACCACCTTGCACAATACTTGAAACTGTTCCACTTGTTCTTTTCCTCAAGAACGGCATCCCCCCCTCCCGGACGCTTACAGCTCTGCAGACCCTCCAGGACGCACGTGGCCTGCCTCTGCACCATCTCCCGTGACCCAGAGCACCAGGCCGCAGTCACAGGCCCTCTCTGCCCACAGAACAAGGTACTTTCCAGCCCCTCAGCTCAATAGAAACTAAAACTGAAGAACAGCCTTAAGTCAGAAGTAACAGGAAACTTTAGGAGTGCTGCTGGCCTTGAGCAGAAAGACAGAAAATATTCAAAATTTTAATCATGAGTTTGCTGCATGATATTTAGGATTGCTTGTTAGATTTATAAACCAAGTATAAGGATTTTTTTCCTGAATTAGTAGCTACAGATAAGTTTTAGCGTTTATGGGCCCTCCCTGGTGGCACAACGGGTAAGGACGCAGCACTGCAAGCCAGAGCAGCTGCCCCAGTGTGAGTTCGACCCCCGCCCCGGAGGTGACCCACATGGTGCAGCAGACCTCTCCTGACCCGCCCGCTGCTCCCCTCAGCAGTGCGTTTCATCCATCTGCCTATTCTACTCCCCACTCTGCTTCTGGTGAGTCCTCTCACCACCCCTACACCTCTGGCCTGTGCCCCAGATCTGTTATGCATAAGTATATAAATCTCTTTTTTAAATTTTAGTGTTCATTATTATATAAAGTAGTCACTATAATCCTTTTGGTAAAATACCTATTTTCTCTATAATCAATGGCAAAAATGCAAAATTTCTCCAAGAGTTATACACACTAATCCCCAACTTACTGTGCAACTATCTCCCCAAAGAGATTGAAATACCAAAATTTCTAAGGCAAAAGAGCAGAGGAGCTGATCAGACTACAGTAAAGGTGCTTCCAGATAATGCAAAGGAACCCCGCCCAGCACGACACTGATGCCGAGAGACTGGGCCTCTAATACAGAAGGAGACACCATGTTTACTTTTATTAAAAAAATGTTACTCTCGGTGGCACACGGGTGATTTGGTGATGGGAAACCCACGGGGATTACAATCGAGATGGAAAAAAAAAATGTGCAAAATGATGTAAAAATAAACTTTTGTAATAATTAAAAAAAAAAAAAAGTTACTCTCCTATACCAACCTCACATAGTAAGAAAATGACGAAAATAATTTCATTATTGTGGACCTGTAATTTGTCCTTAGGAGCCATGAGACTGTTACACCGCAGAAAATCACAAAGTAGAACTTCTCATATCTAAATTCCCTTAAACATGCGATGCTTCCCAGCGTCACTGAACAGTGTATTACCCACTAGCAACGGTGATGGCGACGCAGAACGGACGTGTAAGTAACAGGCGTTTATGAGGTATCTACCTGTTTCCACATTCTCCGTCTCAACTTCTTGTTCTTCTGCCACATCTTGCATCATGTAAGTGTCATCGGCATAAACCAGAACCTGGGCGGCGTAGCCCTGCTCCAGCCTGGCACTGGGCACTGGCTCTACAATCACTGCCGGGGAGTCAGAAACCTTCACACTTTCCTATAAGAGCAAATTTAAAAAAGAATCAACCTTTGTATTCACCAATTCTGGTTCCCTGACCGACCCTTGAGCCCTGCCAGCTCAAGGAGCCCACATACTGAGCTCCACCATTCTAACCACTAATGTAAAAATGAGAGTGAGAAATGAAAAGGGTTAACTCTGACCATCTTTTCAAATGTCAAGAAGACACAGATGAAACATTTCACATAATCAGGGCTTTAGGATCAAGACTGCCAATTAAAAACAAGCATATAATGATGTCACTTATGAAAGCCCAACAGAAGATTTTTTAGAAGGAAACTCTTCAAGACAAGTGGTAAGAGCAAGTTTGATGGCTAATTACTAAGTGATGAGCAGGAACTTGAAGCCATATCTTGGCACCGAAAACAAAACCGAGGAACCACCCACATTACACTGGAGGATCGAGGCAATACCAGTCACTTCTAGAAAAGGAGACGCAGCAGGTGGTAGAGAAAGAGGAAGGGCTTAATATAGGGACATTTCATCAAAACTATTAGAAAAGTGGGGTCCTCCCTGGTGGTGCAGCAGGTCAAAGCACAGCACTACAAAGCTAGCTGCAGACGCTTCAGTGGGGGGTTGATCCCCAGCCAGGGAGTGACACACAGGTTGCAGCAGACCTCTCCTGTCTCCCCGCTGCTCCCCTCAGCAGTGTACTTCATCAATCTGCCTGTTCTGCACCACACTCTGTCTCTGGTAAGTTCTCTCACCACCCCTGCACCTCCAGCCTGTACCCCAGTTCTGTTTGCATAAATAAATCTTTTATTAAAGTAGAAGCTATTAGAAAAGCTTGCTCCACTGACATGCAACACAAACATCTTGGAAGTACAGTAAGTACATCTGGCAGGCTCAGCATTACACCAAGACCAGAGCAGTTTCCAGTCAGCTTTCTAGGCAAGAGCAGGCAGCCAGGGATGACCAGGCACCTGAGGAGAAGCCTCAGCGTGCATATGCACACACAGATTCACTCATCACCACCTCCACAGGGACATGAGGCTAGAGCCATAAATGAGAACAGAATACCATTTCATAAAGATACACTAAACAAAGAAAAAGCAATTAAAAACAGAGCCTTAGAAGATAAAATTGAGCAGGAGCCAGAGGAAAAAGAGAATGCAATAGAAAGTAGGAGAGAAAGTAAGTTTTAGATGACCAGGGAGGCAGCCCAAAAGCTAAACAACGGTTCCAGAAAAAGAAAGGGAGATGGAAGTAAAAAAAAAAAAAAAAAAAAAGGAAGAATGCCAAGAAAATGTCCCGGCACTGCCCACGCAAAGGCCCTGCCTGACAGTGGACCCTCACGGCCACACTCTGTTGGGAAGTATCACAGCACTGAGGACAAAAGGTGTGACACATTTCTAGAATGAAACATAGTTCCCAAACAAGAATGGGGACCCAGGTCATCTTCTCATCATTGGAGAACAGAGCCATCTCTTCAAAATTATAAAGGAAAATCATTTTCAACCTAGAATTCTTTACCAAGTGAAACCATTTTATGAGCACAATAAAAGTATTTCCTCAGACATCAAAGATCTCAAAACACTGACCATCTATCCATCTTTCCATCCTTTCTAGAGAAGCAACTAAACAGTATATTCTATCCAAAAAAAAAAAAAAAACGGTAACAAGAGATGACTTCAGATACAGAACTCAGGAGCTCTGGCCTGGAGGCGACCGTGACTGTCCCAGCAAGGGTGGTAGGGGCAGGCCCAGGCCGGAAATCACCTGACACCTGCCCACCCTGTCCCCTAGGACAGAAACCCAGGTGGCCCCCCTCAGACCTGGGGACCTGTTTCCCCTACCCTGCCTGGCAGCCTGAGGCTGCACTCTGCTCAAACTGCAGGGAGCTGAGAAGAGGAGAAGCCGCCCGGACACCTGGCGAAGGACCAGGGAAGGCCAGGGCCGCCCGGCAGCTCCGTCCCGCGCATGTCCGGACCGCCCTGCCTCCACACACTCACTGGCCACACTGCCCACTCAGGACCTGGGCGGAGGCCCTGGACACAAGGCGCCTGCTGACCACCACTGCGGATACTTGCTCGGTACCCCAGGCAACCCACTGCATGAGCTCTCCTGTGTCTTCCCGTAGACTACAGCGAGGCCACGACTGCAGAGCCCCGTGGCAGCGGGGTCCAGAGCGCCACCAGCGCCCACCGAAGAGCCTCCCTGCTGCTCTCAACTCACCGCCTCCCCCACAGTGAAGAAAGCGCAGTGAAACTGACTTTTTCATAGCATAGTGTTCTGGAGTCTCATTTGGTTTTATGATGTCTTTTATGCCTCACCTCTGAGGTTCCTGTTTTAGCTTCTTAAGCGCATTTAGAGCAGCTGTTTGAAGTTCTAATTAACAAGTCTGTTATTTGCATTTGTTTTCACTGACAGCTTTTTGTTCAAGTTACAGGTTATATTATTCCTGCTTCTCTGCATTTAACTTATCTGGGGTTTGATCTATAAATTTAACATGTCTTGTTGTCTTATGTTAATAGTTAAGGATCAACTTCAAGGACTGTTTTTAAACCTTTCCAGGAAAAGTCGGGACTACTCTAGAAATTGCCCTACCATAGGGGCACCCTTCTGGGACTGCTAAGGAAAGCCCAGGCTTTTAACGATGACCCTGTTCTCACTGACTAGAACTCTCCTGTCACCCAGTACTAAGCAACTACTGAAGTTTCTGGGTAAATCACTGGACGGACACCCCCTGGCTGTTCTCTGCTGGCTTCGTGGAATTTCCTATCACAATGAGCAGAGGGAGAGCGGGCAAGGAAGGGTTCTGCGACTCTACCCCCCACTCCAAAGTTTGTTTCCGCAATTCAGTGCGACTCTTCGTTTTTTCAGGTTCCTGCTCCCTAGACTGAAGTCCTCCTGCAGCAACAAGCCAGGACACAGCCAGCACCACTGAAGACCCTTTCTCATCTCCCGGGAAGCACAGTCCTCCGCCAACTGCTGCCCATGTATTAGTCCTTTCAGGCTGCTTAACAAAATACCACAGACAGAGAAGATCATAAACAGCAGAAAGTTTCCTGAAAGACTAGAAGAGAACGGAGCCCCCAGGTCCCTGTCTCCTTGACAGATCCCACCTGGAAATGATCGCCCAGAAAGCACAACCTGCAGAGGAGAAGCTGACTGCGCAGAGCCAGGCTCCGTAGCTGTGGTTGCGTGGACTTCGAGTGTTTAGATTCCAACACACCAGGACGTGAGTTTTCAAGTCCATTCCTCGCAAAGGAAGACCAATACCTTCACTTTATCCCTTCCACTGAGTCTGACCACAGCAAAAGACACAACAGTCTCCAGGCACACCAGAAGAGAACCCAGACTCCAGAGCCACGGCCGCATGCTCTGGCTTGTTTCTCAGCCATGTCACTATGCCAGTAACAGCAGCATCTTTCACAGGAGAGAGAAAAGACACTCAGCTAACAGCAACTCCCCATTCCTACCACATCTCTGGCCGAATAAGTGCCCACTATTGAGAGAGTATTACTAAGGTTTCTTTCAGGACCTTCCCAATATACAGACTTTACTGACTGGTGGAAAGGGAGTGACACCCTGCAGTCTACATATTTCTGGTGATGTTTTCCATTCCCACGTTATCAAGAATACAAAAAAATAACCAAATGTGCGAGTGATACAAAAAACCTCAAAACCTGAATTTTTTTTTCATTTACTAATTATCGAGTTTTGTGTGATTATGATGTATTCCCACACTAGATTAGACACAACAAAATAACCAGGGCCTCCCTGGTAGTTGCAGGGGTTCAAATCTCAGTGCTACCAAGCCATAGCCAGCCACTGCAGTACCAGCTGGTCCCCAGCCAGGAAGCTGACCCATAGCAGGTTATTTCAGTCAGTCCACCTGTTCTCCCCACTCTGTCTCTGGTGAATCCTCTCACCCCCAACACCTCTGGCCTACACCCCAGTTCTTGTATGTATAAATAAATTTTAAAAAATAGAAAAACCAAAAAACAACTAAAGGAATACAATATTCTAATTTAGGATGAATCTAGTTTAGGTATTTGGTAAAATTTATACCTGCACATTCTGGAACGTAAAACAATAGATTTTATCAAGGAGTCAAGCCTATCTCTCGACTAATACTAGTGTTCTTCCTTCCCACTGTTTTCCTTCCCTTTCATTCTAACACTTGCATGTACCCAAAGCTCTGCTGGGCCAGCGGTACCTCCCCTCAATCTCCTGGAACCTAAATACAAGAGAATACATGACATAGAAATGTATGATGTCACCTCTAGAAACTCTCAAATACCTGTTTCCCAGCAATTTCAAAATTATTCATGCACTGATTTCCATAAACAAAACAGAAATGCAATACACTGGATGCCTAACCTCTTGATTTTTCACTCCATTGCTGGAAAGCTCCAAGACGGAACCTCCACTGTCAGCCACTGCTGATGTCATCGTGTATCCCCTGAGGAAGCGTCAAAGGCTATTAATCAATGCAATTAAAGGTTCATGGATGACTGCCAGTGTTACAGATTTGCATTATCATATTTTAATAGTCAACAGAGATGGAGTGGAGTAGATATCCAGAAATCCAGTCTTCTAAAGATGATTAACCAGAGAGCCTAAAAAGAGGAAGAATTCAAAGTTATTAAAAATACACAATATGAAATAAAACATAACCTGTTTTGCAATCTAGTTTTTAGTGTTTCCATAAACTTAAAAAAAAAAATAAAAATGGAGTGGTTTGCAAAGCCCTGTGTCAAGAAAGGGCAGTAATGGGCACTCTGCTTCTTCAAACTGTCAAATTCATAACTGTGCCCAAATTAAGTTCTTACTTAGTCATCACACAAGGATGGTACTATGACATCTATGTTCCAGGAAAGCAAATGCTGTAACTGCTATTTTAATTAATATTCACTTTTACTCCTGAAATACTTTGGTATAAGTTTGTTTTCTTTTAAAAATTTATTTATTTATGCATACAAGAACCTCACCAGGTATAGACCAGCAGTGTGGGTGTTGAGAGGACTCATCAGAAATAGAGTGGGAGCAGAACAGGCAGAATGACTGAAATCCACCGCTGAGGGGAGCTCTGGGGAGACAGGAGAGGTCTGCTGCACCATGTGGGTCACTCCCTGGCTGGGAATTGAACTCATGCTGCAGTGGCTGTGGACAGCTTCATAGTGCTGCACTTTAACCCACTGTGCCACCAGGGAGGGCCCTTGACAGAAGTTTTTAAGATCTTTTTATTTAAGATTTATTTATTTATTCATACAGAACTGGGGTACAGCCAGATATGCAGGGGTGGTGAGAGGCTTCACCAGAGGCAGAGTGGGGAGCAAAACAGGCAGATCCATGAAGTACACTGCTGAGGGGAGCAGCAGGCGGGTCAGGAGAGGTCTGCGCACCATGTGGATCCTGCGGGGCTGGGTATTGAACTCGCCAGCTTGCAGTGCTGCGTCCCAGCCCATGCGCCACCATGGAGGGCCCTAAGATCTTTTTAATAAGCATTGAAAACATAAATTGTACTGGGCTGAAAACAACTTCCAAGACCACTTGCCCGTTTGATAAATTAAAAGATTTATTGGTTTGTAAGTATTTCATTCTTCTTTGATTCATATAGTTTGTTTATTTGAATAATGTAGTAAGAATTGTCTTTTGTTTGTGGCATGCATGTTCTGTGTTCACAATTGGAATATTCCATAAAGCAGATTAATCAATAGCTTATAATCTTAAATACAATTGCTTAAAAATAAAGTAAAAAGTATCCTTCTTCCCTTAATAATTACTTTATTATTCATTAAAATCCAATATACATAATGGTTTCAAGTAAACATAACCCAAGCCTTGTATAACTCTACTATAGGAGAAGTAACGGTGTGTACATTATCTAGATTTTTGCATCAGATTATCCCTTAAATATTGTATTTTATTTGGTTTTATGAGTGTTAAGTTTTCAGAATTACTTCTAACAGGACTTTTCACATAAAAAATAGAGAATGGGGCCCTCCCTGGTGGCACAAGATATTAAGACACAGCACTATGAAGCTGTCTGCAGCCACTGCAAATGAGCTGGACCCCTGGCCAGGGAGTGACCCACAGGGAGTGGCAGACCTCTCCTGTCTCCCGCTGCTCCCCTCAGCAGTGTACTTCGTAGATCTGCCTGTTCTGCGCCCCACTCTGTCGCAGGTGAATCCTCTCACCACCCACCCCTGCAGTTCTGGCCTGTACCCCAGTTCTGTATGCATAAATAAATAAATCTTTAAAAAAAAAAAATGAGGACTTTGCATACACTTGTACAACAAAAGAACCATATCACCTCACTACCTAAGTACTATTAATACACTTTTAGCTTTAACAACAGAAAATGGAATAGGAAGTACTTTAAGAATACAAATTAGGAAAAGCCCTCAGTGCCATCACACTAAAGGTCATTATTATCATATAAGTAATGACTATTTTCAATTTTAGTTTTCTAAACATACTAACAGAAATAATCTTTACATACAATTTTAATATTAAGTAGTCTAAGCATCCTTCACATTTTCACAAGTTGGCAAGAGCTAAAATATAAACCAGCAGTTCTTTGGGAACTACTAGTGGGGAAGGGGGGAAAACAGTATTAATATAATTCTTTTAAAAAACACTTGCCCAAAATAGGTGTGACTCAGTAAGTTCCTATTATGACCAAAAAAAAAATCACCTCCAGCCTGATGACACACCCTGTATAACAAATGTAAAAAATTACATCTAGGCTATTGAATACAGCAAAGGTGTTTATCAAGCCTAAAATGCTAAGTCACAGTAACTCACAGCTGTTGAATAACGGCAGAGACAACCCTGCCCGGCCTGTGTTATGAAGCACGTGCCAACCTGCCAACAGATTTTTAGCAAGAAGCTGACCACAGGAGGATAAAATCAAGTCCAAAAAGGCCCCGAAACCCACTATAAAACAATGTCAATGATCGATCTTTGCCAATTACCAAACTTAGCTCCCAGACACATCCCAAGTCTCCCAAATACACTAACTTTCAGCAGCCATCTGCTGACTCATGCCCATCTGCTGACCTATGCCTTGCATCTTGTAATTGGGCCTTGCTCAATTATTCTTTTTTCCTTATCTTCTCTTAACATTGGCTCCGTTCCCTCAACATCAACTAATTTACAAGACCATCATCTTAAACATGGAGAAGCCCTCCTGAGCGATCACTGTAGCTACTATCATTCACTCCTTTCTCACTAAGGCTCCAGAAAATAGCCTATACCGTCTCCACTTCCTAACTTCTCAGGTACTCCTTTTACAGAAGTTTGAATCCACCACCACTCACTCAATTGTCCTACTAAATTCTGGTTGTCAAATCCAATGACCATTATTTCAGTCTCCATAGGGCTACTGTTTAAGAAGCATTTGTCAATGTTGATCATTTCCTTCCTTGAAACTACCTTGAATCATCTTTCATTTTCCAGCTACTCCTTTTCAATTACTTCTTGCAGGCCCTTGCCTAATTTTCAAGGAACCTGGGGAAGCCCAAATATATCTCAGATCTACATAAAATTATAAATCATGCTAACAGGATGTTAAGATTATTACTCTACCTCCTATATTGCCTTATACACACTTTTAAAACAACTTAAAAGGCTAAGAACCTCCTACTCTCAAGTTCTATGGGGCTATGGGAGGAAAACCCCCTTCCCCTGGCCTTAAGCTTGTCCCTTTTCTCTTTCCACCTTTGGCCACACTCCACACCACACCACAAGGAGTCTCACATATATAGTGCTGACATGTCCAGGTTCTGGCTGTATACCTACGAACAGCAAAAGCTGCCCTTGGCCATCCTTACGTGAATAAAACTAAAACAAACGACTTTTAAAAGGAATTGTTGGAAATTACAATTTTAATCTAGGAAAGAGATTCTAATTCAAAACTGCCAGTATTAAAACACTAAGAACTTTATCTTGTAACCTACACTCACAGTTTGTTTTCTTCCCATAAGATCAGTTAGTAAAATTAAGTCTTTTAATATGGAACCCAATTCCTGAAATACCTGGTCCTTATTTTCATTGTTCCTTTTTTTTTTTAATTTTTTTTTTTTTAATGTATGTATTTAAGAACAGATCTGCAGGCTGGAGATGGGGGGCGGGGGTGGGGAGAGTGAGAAGAGTTGCCAGAGACAGTGGGGAGCACAACAGGCGGATCCACTGGAACACACTGCTGAGGGAGCAGCGGGAAACAGGAGGGGTCTGCTGTGGCCCTGTGGGTGGCTCCCTGCCAGGGGACTGAACTTGTGCTACAGTGGCCACTGGCAGCTTCATAGTGCTGCGTCTTAACCCTTTATTTTTCTGAAATCACCTGCCTCGGTTGACAGAAACTACAGAGGTAGCTTATAATGCTAATACAATGAGAGACTCAATAGTGAATCTCAACCATGTATTTTTTCTAGTTATTGAGCCAGGCATTTTTATATACATTTTTCCTTACAAAACAAGTGTAATCATCCCACTTATTACATGAAGACTATTCTGACACTAAGTAAAAGCTAGTATGATTTACAGTTAAAAGTCTACTGGCCATTGTATTCTCAGAAAGTAGGGGGTGCTCAATAAGCATTTGTTGAATTTTGGCTTTACCTCCAACTAACAATAAGTATAATTTACTTATAATAAGTAAATTATATAAAACTAAAAAAGCTTAAGTACTTACCTCTTTAAATTTCAAAGGGCCTCCCTGGTGGCTAAGGGTTAAGTCTCAGGCCTATCACTGCTATGGCCTGAGTTCAAACCCTGGCCAGGCACAAAGACCTCTCCTGTCTCCCTGCTGCTCCCCTAAGCAGTGTATTTCAGTAGATCCCCCTGTTCTGCTCCCCACTCTGTCCCTGGGGAATCCTTTCATCTCCCTGTACCTCTGGCCTACACCCCAGCTCTTGTATGCATAAATAAACCTTTAAAAAAAAAACTTATACATATGTTCTTAATGTTATATAAAATAATCATTACAACCATATGAAACACGGGTAAGAAAATGAACTTAGAGTGAAACATTTGTTCAATCTATTCTGTGATAGTAAAATTGTAAAAAGTTTCTAAAAGTACTCTGAATAATCAAACTTTATAGTGCTTTAAAGAATTGATGAGCACAGAGACAACCAGACAAAAATCAACCTCGAGCAGAAGCATATAGTGCGGCTTAGCTATGCTCCTTGTATACTTTTAATCCTAGTAATCTCTGTCACCGTTTCACCTGTGTTCAAGTTCTGGGACAGCGACAGTAATGATCAAAAAAGTCTATGAAGGAAGAGATCACATTAAACAGGTCTCAGAATCCAACCTACCTTGGGGCTGAACAGAAGGAACATAGGTCTGACTATTAATATTTATTCATAAACTTTATGACTTTTTATAAGAAATATTAAGCTGTAGAAATAAATGTGGTTAGCTCTATGAATATTCGTGAACAAGCACATTTCTAGTCAACTAAGGACCTCCCAGGTACTGGGAGGTCTGGTCAGGAAAAAGTAACTATCAAGTAAAAGCTGATAAACCTGACCACAACTCAGATTTGAAAAGTGTCAAGTTTGGTTACAACAGCCTCTTATACATGTA